ATAAGTAAGGGAAGTTGACGATAAAAAAAGTTAAAGTCATCACGTTTATCATATAGCTTGGTTGTTAGATTACCATTAACGTCTTTTTCAAGTAAAATATCCAAGTATGAAACAGATGTGTCAGACAATACAAAATAGGAGCAGAGCAAACATGGACCTCCAAACATCAGAGGTGGGATCATGTGCCATGGAGGAGTGAGTATCCCCTGTCCATCGGTCACACCCGCCGTGAGCTCCTTGTCATGCTCCGGGAATAACGAGACTGCCTATATTCTTGAAGTAACGTCAAGCTAAGTAATACGTTTTTGACGTAACTCATTGTGACGTAGGCAACTTATGCCATACGATATAAAATTAATCTTTTATCCAAATAAATGACGTGTTACAACTGAAATTATTCTCATTTTACAGTAAATAACGCAGTAACAAACAGTATTCAAGATCAAAAGTCCATTTAACAATACAAAATAGGAGCAGAGCAAACACGGACTTCTAAAACAGAGGTGGGATCAGGTCCCATATAGAATTCAGCATCCCCTGCCGACCCGTGACACCCCGGGATGCTCCTTGTCATGATCGGGAAATACAGGAAATATCCGTCTTCAATTCATTGTGAAAATACTGCTTCTTGTCTTAAGATTTTATTCTTTAATATTTACTGGTTTATTAGACAAATAGTGTTTTATTACATGGATACAAAATAAAAATTAGTTGAATTAAGCTCATCTCAGCTCTCAATTAATCCAGGACATTAATCCATATACTTAGTACTAAATATTTTGCGATTTACATACATACCGGGGGTATATATATATATATATATATATATATATATATATATATATATATATATATATATATATATATATATATATATATATACTCCATCGAACGTCCGAATATCGAATACTAAAATCAACAGAGGTGGGGTAAAGCTGTGTACCAAGTGATTGGTCACTAACTACTGTAAATACACAGCTGCAGGCGACAATGGGTGTTTTACAGGTGTAGGCGACGGCACTATAATTATCGCATGCATATTTACATTATTTTTTGATACTTGGAATAAGAATTATACTGATCCCACCTTTGTTGATTTTACCGTGAAATCCTGGCTTACGATTGGTTGAAGTCTGTCATGTGAAGGAGGTGGATTACTTATACCCGGTCAGTTGTAAATCTATACCCGGTCAGTTGTAAATCTATACCCGGTCGATGTATTATGTAACAAACATAACGTGACGTCATAATAGGCACATATAAGCGAGATGAAGCATTTAGCAGAGAAAATCATTTATGAACCACTGATAAAACGTAAATGTTTCATCGGTGGGGTAAATTCGTTACATAGTCTTTTAGTGACAGGGTATAGGATGATACCTGGTTATAATAAGTACAATAAATCATTTTCGTTAAACTCACATGTTGTTAAACATGCACTTAGGTCAGACGACATGTTCCTCAAAAATATATAATTTTTTCTTAGAATTTGTCTTTGAATTATAGGAACTTAAACAAGTTTCCTCACAAAAAAATTAGGATACCTTACCAGGCATATGAATAAAATTCCAGATGGTGAAGTTTCTTATATAATCTTATTTTCTGAATGACCTTTATCGCAATTTTTATGTACTTTTATTTATAAAACATATTGGAAACAATGAAGCAATCACAAAAAAATATTATTATGAATTATGTTTTATATAATGCCAAGAAATACGAAACATATGATTGAGGATCGTGTCGTCTGACCTTAAAAAGATGTTCTTTACATGGGTTTAAGAAAATGAACAGACTTGTGTTTACCACTTTACAGAGTACCCGGGTACTCGATTGGAAAAAAATGCATATATATCGACATTTTTCACGTATAATAATCTGATCCTATAAAGGATAAAAAAAAATTTAGATTCATAAATATATTATAATTTTGATTCTGTGATATCGAGAAAGGAAACCTTCACTATGAAAGATTAATGCTTGTAGTATTTAGTTCAAAGAAGTATATAAATAGTAATTTGAACTATATTAAAAAAAATTCCCATTCTTATATACTAGTATAATACATTTTGTTTAATACAAAGATTTACTGAAGGAATATTACTGACAATGATATATCGTGATTTTGATTGAAACACACGTTGGCGTAGCTTTAACATGAAGGAGAGTGTCCAAGCCCACTGTGACATGTGTATTTGAGCCATTACTGGGATAGTTCCTGCCGAACGCTCCCCCATAATTGTGAATTAACAGCTATACATTAAACATGCTTCTAAGTATTCCATAGCACTGAATATTAACATGCCTGGAATTGGGACAAAAAGGGTAAGTGTTAAATAAATTCTCTTCATATTGGTTGTAACTGCCAATTTAAGTCCGCATACTAGTTTATCTTATAGAGATAATCAATCTTTCTTTAAATATAATATATTGTATCATTGTTAAATTGTCTACTATACTAGTATGTAATGGCCAAAACGAGGATTTATAAAACATTGACAAATCCAGGGAAAAAATTAACTTATCAATTAAGATATGGACAAAATCAGATATGTCAAATACATTCAAATACAGGTATACAATGTATTTTAAAAGTTTTAAACATGAAGCCCATCGGGTCACAGTGCTCTCCACAGACAAACTGGTCGTTCTATTCATCGTAACATCAGTTCCACCTCAACTTAAGGTTTCGTTTGCATGAATTTGAAATAAATTTAAATTTCACATCATGAGGATGTTTGCATATTCGAACATTGTGTGCCGTACAAAAAGATTGTCCTATATCCCTTCTTTTTCCCTCTGCATCCCAATGGGGATCGTAAGCTGAAATCTAAGAACAGAGAATTATACTATATAGTAGTAAGCAACTCTATTCATGACCCTAAAAGGACATGTCTTGAGGAAATAGAATCTGTACTGCTTTCAAATTGATATAATTAATTCCTGTCCTGATTTCCTTGAAAGGAAGACCAATTTATGTAATTACATGGAGATGAATCCTAATAAATATGTGTTACCATCGCTTCACTTTTTTTTTTCTTGAGAAAGATTTTTAAGGGTTTTCTTATAGCATATATATTTCCATCGAAAATGAAGGCTTTTGTGCCCTCACCTACCCATAATGGGTCATTTTTTGTAAAAAAAAAAAAAAAAAAAAAAATTATTCGATGACATAAAATTTTAATCTTTCTTTACCAACCAATTTTCGAGAATTTTTTTTTGATAATGAGTCCATGGGATGGGTCTAAAAGGCAGAGATTTTAAGCACCGAAATCAAAAATTCCTGGTCTGGGTAGAGCTGTCAATCAAGAGCTTGAAGGTCCATCATTGGATGCTGGAACTTGATTGACATCTACTTACTAGTCCCTGTGTATACCCTGCACACCTTGTTTGGCACTCGTTGGGACCTTCAAATTCACTTTTGATCCTTTGATGTTTACCAAACATGGTATAGAGAAACTGTATTACTATTAAAATTTTTAGGTAATTCATAATATATAAATTAAATAAACCTTTAGTATTTGAAAGGATTATAATATATATTTAAAAAAAATTAAACTTTGATACATAAAACCTTTTTTAAATGAAATTTGATTATTAATTTTAAGATACTTAACCTTAAGTAAATGTTATTGATTAAGTTTAGAGCAGCACTGTGTAAAGTAATTAATTTGAAAAATATTTATAAATAATTTAATATTACTTGTACATGTAACACGTCATTTGATTGGATAAAAGATTTTATCCATTTTGTATAACATAACTTGCCTATGTCACAATGAGTTATATCAAAAAACGTATTACTCCGCTTGACTTTATTTTTAAAAATTAATCAATGTGAAGCCTTATTCCGGGGGAAAAATTGTCTCATTGTCTGCTCTGCAATTAAATTATTAGGAATGAAGCTTATTTCAACTTATATTATACGATATAACAAAACTTGTGGCAGTTTAGGCTTTTTTTTTTTATAAAAAGCTGTAAACTGCGATTAATATGATTTTGAGAGGAGGGGGGGGGGGGGCAGCCACAGAATTTTTTTTTTACTTCCCTGAAAAAGTTGACAAGCAAAATTGCCCAAAGTCGAAAATCAGGCAGGCCCCCCCTTGTTGCTACGTGCCTGCCAAGTTATGTTATATCGTATAATATATGTTGAAATAAGCTTCATTCCTTACATTTTTCTCACCTTATGGGGCACATATCTTCCTTTGTTACTAGTATTCAGATAAGAATTTACGAGCAATCTTTTTTAATATGTTTATGATGAGAAAGCTTTATGAAGATTAGGATATACCTAGAATTTTTTAATGAAATATAGCTAACACAGCTCTCTTTTCATAAAAAATAAATGGGATTCTGGGGATGAATGAATCAAGACTAATTTGGTTGTTATTGGAGATTTATTTTTTGGTTGTTACTTGAGATTTTTTTTTAAATTAACACAATATTCTAACATTTCAAATAATCTTAAAGTTGTTTTAATATTATACAATTATAGCCTTTTGCTGAGGTCAATCCCTAGATATATAGACCTTAGAGAAAGCATATCGAGCCAAAAGCCGATATACCACCCGGTAAAAATAATAATTGAATTAATAATATTACATGTATATCATAATATTTTTTAATGGGTAGGGGTGTTTTCAAAGATGAATTAATATACTAGATTATTAAACAAAAAATTGTCTCGAATATCCCAATACATGTAAAGTTTGACATCTGGGTATTTCACTGTGTATTAAATTACTTCCTCTGTATAAGGATTAGGAGACAGATTACCACATGTAGACTGCTAACCACCAAGGGATTCACACCTGTACAAAATAAGCCCCTCCCTCACCTGGAATTTACCACCCGGTAAAAATCTCTGCCTTTTTAAGTCTTGGCCCAAGTAAGCTACAAGTTTGAGGATGGGCCTTGAGCCTTGGCTCAGGCGAGCTAAGAGGTTGAGGATGGGCCTTACAACTAAGTGTTTTAACCTACTTCTTTCCTACAGGGGGCCTGTAGTTTACTGATGCTCTCACTTGTTCCTGCTGTTCTCTGCACCTTTCACACAAGGAACTCCACAGAAAGTGAGAATACGTTTATCCTAATATCAATTTACTCTACAAAACATGTCATTGGCATTATAACAATTTATTTTCTATTCTGGGAGGTGCATCCACTAACTTCTTGTTTAAGGAAATTTAAGATTGTGATTATATAAGAAATTTAGCCTTCATTCACATCCACATCCAGGAAAATAGATAATTATTTTGTTCGAAATACATGTACATATTTTAAATTATATAAGTGTTAATATACGAGGGTTGTCCGGTAAAATCGTGGACAAGTTGTCTAGTGTGAAAAATAATTATTACTGCGTTCTGAAATTTACACTACTCTAGTAAATATATTATGAATATACATAGCAAATTTCAAATAGATATATGCATAAATAAACAAATTGTGAGATTTTATGGTATGTATTGTATAGCCCTACGGCGCATGGATGATAACGTCCAAGTATCTAAAACAGCGTCACGTTTCATCTTTGCCAAAAATAAAGTTGGATAAATTCCACTTAAAATAAGCAATCCAACTGATTCACATACATGAGTCTCCATATACAATTGAGGAACCAATCTTGCACAAACATGCGATCTTCTGAAGATTTATTAGTAAGCTACGGAAAGTATTCACACCATCATTTAACTAATAGAGAATCTTATATCGACGGTCGACAGTGACATCGTCTTTTGCTATTACAATAGCAGTTTTTCCGAATGTTTTTTACTATCACGGGACTAGATCAAAAAGACTTCGTTAAGAAAACTCCCATTTCATTCGTATACTAAAGATATAGTGATATATTTTTTTAAAAATGTTTTTCTTCTGTATTCATTTAAATTCTCTTAAGGTGTCATTACAACATTTAAATCAAACTGAACTGATCTCCGGTGCGCCGTAACGTCATCAAACGTCGCCATTTTTCGTGTTTTGAGTTTACCACTTTCTCATTTCGAATGCTCAGGAAACTGCCGAAAATTAATCAAATGCCTTGAAATTTTTAAAAAGACGACAAAATTAATCGTGAAATCGATTAAGGATAATTTTCATCCCAATCTAATGTATTTAAAACTTTTATTTCGAATTAATACTTGTGCATTCTCTAATATAACCTTGGTTTTTAGACCGTGCGCCGTAGGACCGTACCCTGTGCACATTAAAGCATAATAAAATCTTTATTTTTGTCTATATATTATTAAAAACATTATGATACACTTAAATATGATAAACAAACATTTGCTGAAATTTTCAGCTAAGTGTGCCAATTACTTTTCAAGAAAAACGCTTTGTCCACGATTTTACCGGACAACTCTCGTATATGTATACATGCTCTTATCAGTGCTTAAATCGTATGTCATTGTATTTAATGTCATTTAGGTTAGAATATACTTGTCTTTTGTTTTTTTATAAATTGATTAACACAATATTTATTTCACATTTTCAGGCTGTAACAGAGAACCATTCCAAAGGCCAAACTACTATGTCATTTATATTCATGGCTATGCATTATTGCGTCTATGCCCACCTGAAAGATATTACATACCAGAGCTCTGTCGGTGCGTGCCACTGCGAGTCCCAGATTCAGCCCCGTCTGGTAACCCCCTAGCTGACATTAAACCAGATCGACGGTCTCCCACAACATTCCTCCCCGTTACCATCGAGGAAAGACCGCGTTCGACTCCTCTAATCACAACAGTCAACCCCCTGGTCACAAATTCATTCGACTTGTTTGGAGGGGGATTTAATCCTCAGGACACCAACACAAAGTCTTCAAAAAACGAGAATAGAAAAACGAGTCGTCGTCTTCTGCAACACGAGTTTAAAAATATAAGTTTTTCAAATCCAACCACTGGGTCTTCTAGATCTACAAAATCATCACTTACGTTTTCTTTTAAGTCTGCCAAGGCAAACACTAAGAAGGAAAGACAAGCACAATCTTCAACATTCAAGAAAAATAAAGGGGTTACCAAAATCCAACACACCAGAAAGCCTTCAGAGATAAAACAGATTCATATTACAGATCTCCATGGTATGCATTGTATATAAACAAAACATATCCGTTTACAAGTTCATAGACCCAAATTTATTTTCTCATTATTTATTTTAAAAAACTTTTAGAAAAAAAAAAGAATTTTCAAAAGAACTATTTCTTTTGCAGATAAAATAAATGATAAGCTCTGCAGTCCTTACTTTACGTTCGTGTTTGATAAAACCTTTCTTTCCGTGGATAAAAGTATGCCTTCCTTCCCAACCAACACCATTCGATTTCTCAGAGAACCCGGAAGTACGGGTCAAACTTCCGCCTACTTGGATGGGGACGGGATAATTACAGTATGGGGTATGAGTTATATCACATTTGCCGCCATGTTCAAATTTTTGGTACGTTTCAAGCTCTCCGATAACCACCCGTATGAAGACAAGTTCTACAGTCTGATTTCGGACGGACCCTGCAAAGACAGTACACCACAATACAGCATATCTGTTAATCCGGTGCGACGAGAAATCCACTCCTTTATGGCATTGAGAAAAGACGATGCAATGGATATTCTTCTAACTAATGTGGTAAACTGCATTTTAATATTTTGTTGCTCAAAATCAATCACATATTTCTCAAAAATCAGATATTATTGGTCCAAAGTTATTCCGCATGACTTCGTTGATAAACTGCGAAAAATTAAGTTAAGAAGAAGAATAATCATAGTTTCATCATGGATGACATGTATATAGGAAGTAGAGGTATCGTGGATGTTGATTAAAATTTCCCTCAATATTTTTGATAGCAAAAACTATATCAAATACTAGTAATAATTCGTCTTTAAATATATATAAAAAGGATTTGAGCAACTGGATAACAGTTTCGTTACAAGCTGAAGGTGGTGGAATTGTATTGTTCACGGATAAAAGACAAACCATTGGCGATTTGGGAGGTAAAGTATTCGTCTTACTCTTGATTAACAAAAAAAGGAATCTAATAAATTCTTTGCAATTTATTTATATTTGACAACATTGTTGAACTACTTTCAAGCTTCTGCATTTAAATCATCTTCTTGTCCAATGGAAATCGGGAAAAAGTATCAGCCGTACGAGGGTTTTGTGGGATACATAGACAAGGTTAGTATAACAATAGATATGTGTAGAAAAGTCAAAAGGATTCAGCTTATTCTGATTTGCTAACGTCACCCAAAACAGAAAGAGGACCGCGTAATTTTGTTTTTTCTATCTATTATTTTGTCCGCAAACATTCTTCTAGCCGATGGCTTTGATTAACTGTTTGGATGTTGTTTTACGTTTTATTTGATAATTTTTAAGTCTGATTGTCTTACTCTTTAAGTATTTCATACCACATGCTATTTGTATGGAAACTGTGAGGGTAAAAAAATCTGAGGTTTTAATTAAAATAATTAGTAACTTATTCTGCATTGCACATAATTCCACTTTATTTCAGGTTCAGTTCCACAACTGTTTTTGAGTAGTTTTCGTCCTCGTTTGACTAAAATAGGTCAAATCAAAGTTTAAAGAATACAGAAAACAGAATTATACAGAAAATTTTACCTGGTCGCTTATACATCATGTTTGTTTTTATTGATATTTATGAAATAAATATGTGGGTTGTTTTGACTTCATTTTTGATTTATTGTGAATAATTCACACTTTGCATTGTGCGAAACAAGGTTGAATGAGTACTAGTGAATGACTTGTAAATATTATTTAGAAATTGGTTATACTCTCATTAAAGCCATTGTACTATTAAGTGATATCAAAGAGAAACATCTCGATCAGAGCAGACACGGATCTCTAAAACATCAGAGGTGGGATCAGGTACCATGGAGGAGTGAGTATCCCCAGCCGACCGGTCACACCTGTCGTGTGCTCTCTGTCATGATCGAAAAATAACAGGAAAATGAAGGGTATGGAGATAACGAACAGTATTCAATATCAAAGTCCATAAAACAATACAAAATAGGAGCAGAGCAAACACGGACCTCCAAAACATCAGAGGTTGTATCAGGTGCCACGAAGGAGTGAACAAATTCGATGTATATAGCTAATGGTCTAGTGATTAGTTTGAAAAACGCCAGTCAGCATTTGAATTAATAAATGATAAATTGTTTGTGCTGGCAATTGT